TATATATATATATATATATATATATATATATATAATAATATACATATTAAGGGAACAATGTGTCTCCTGCCATAAAAGGAGACAAAGGAGACAGAGAAAGGAGACAAAGGAGACAGAGAAAGGAGACAAAGGAGACAGGGAAAGGAGACAAAGGAGACAGAGAAAGGAGACAAAGGAGATAGAGAAAGGAGACAAAGGAGACAGAGAAGAAAGGAGACAAAGGAGACAGAGAAGAAAGGAGAAAAAGGAGACAGTTGTCTTACCGGTTGGCTGACGACGACGGTAACATCGAGATCGGCTAAGTGGCACGTCAACACACCTGCACAAAAGGAGACAGGAGACAGGAGACAGGCAGTAGGAGACAGGAGACAGGAAGTAGGAGACGGGAGACAGGAGACAAGGGACAGGAGACAGGCAGTAGGAGACAGGAGACAGGAAGTAGGAGACAGGAGACAGGGGACAGGAGACAGGCAGTAGGAGACAGGAGACAGGAAGTAGGAGGCGGGAGACAGGGGACAGGAGACAGGAAGTAGGAGACAGGAGACAGGAAGTAGGAGGCAGGAGACAGGGGACAGGGGACAGGAAGTAGGAGACAGGAGACAGGAAGTAGGAGACAGGAGACAGGGGACAGGAGACAGGCAGTAGGAGACAGGAGACAGGAAGTAAGAGACAGGAGGCAGGGGACAGGACACAGGCAGTAGGAAACAGGAGACAGGAAGTTGGAGACAGGAGACAGGAGAAAAAAGACAGGAGACAGGAAGTAGGGGACAGGAGACAGGAGATAGGAGGCGGGAGGTAGGGGACAGAAGACAGGAGACAGGAGACAGCTGAATAGGAGCCAGCATAACGAGACAGCGAGCATGAGAGGGAGCATGGAGACACAGGAGACAGAAGGAGAGACAGGGTGTAGACAAGGAGACAGGAGACAATATATAAGGAGACAGTGTCTCCTCATATTGTCTCCTGTCTTAGGCAGACATAAGGAGACACTGCATGCAAAAGGAGACACTTACCTCGTCCCCTAGCTATCTTTGCATCGATAAGCTCCGTAGCCTCCGCCTGCAGCAGCAGCAGCAGCAGCAGCAGCAGCAGCAGCAGCAGCAGCAGCAGCAGCAGCAGAGGCAAATAGACCCTAGCAGCAAATTGTTGTTGCTGAGAGCCTCAGGCAGCAGCAGGGGGACACCGGGGCCCCCACACAAGTTCAATCTAAACCCTAAACCCTAAACCCTAATAATATCCCTGTTTCTGTCTGCAACCCCCCAAACCCTAAAACAACGCTACGTAAGGGGCAAAGGAGAGACCAAGGAAGTGTCTCCTTTTTTAGGTGTCTCCTTTTATATAAAGTGTCTCCTTTTATTTCTTACGGATGTAGATGTTATAATATCCTCCCTTACTGGCCATACAGGACGCATAGCAGTAGAGTAAGGGGCAGGTACATCAAGGGGACTATGCTGGGTGCTACTTAATACTGAAGACACAAACCCTAAACCCTAAACCCTAAACCCTAAAACCCTAAACCCTCAAACCCTAAACCCTAAAACCATAAAACCCTAAACCCTAAAACCCTAAACCCTAAAACCCTAAACCCTAAAACCATAAAACCATAAAACCCTAAACCCTAAACCCTAATAATCACGCTAGGAAACACTACTCACGCTGGATCTCCAGGCGGCCATACTTCTTAATATTAAGGACACTCATGGGGTTCTTATCTGCACAATAAACACCATAAACCCTAAACCCTAAACCCTAAACTCTAAACCCTAGAAGATTGTAACGGTTCCTTGGATTTGAATATGCACAACAATGGCTGCAAATACTCATCTCTTTCATGTCTGCTGCTGCTGCTGCTGCTGCTGCTGCTGCTGCTGCTGCTACTGCTGTGTCTCCGTCTGCCTACCTGGACCCTGTACGAGCATGAGATCATCAAGGGTTGAGGAGATACGATCAGCTAATGCTGCGGCCAAGTCCTCCTGCACACTCATCGCAAACCCTAAACCCTAAACCCTAAACCCTAGAAGACCCTAAACTCTAGGCCCCACTACTGCAAGGAGAGAATATGCTGAGGGGTCCCGCTGCACCAGCAGCAGCAGCAGCAGCAGCAGCAGCAGCAGCAGCAAGGGGTGGATGTAGCCGTCTAACGGATGACTAGGGTGTATGTACACACGCGAAGGGATTTCTTGTAGGGGAAGATAGACTCTGATGGCGTCAATGGCTCTTTCTGCATAATAAATAACAAGATAAATAAACCCTTGCATGCAGCCAACATAAATAGACCCTTGCATGCAGCCAACATAAATAAACCCTTGCAAGCATTAATAACTCTTGTATAGGTGTTAGTCCAATAGAGATAAAAAAAAAATTGAGGGTTTAGGGTTTAGGGTTTACGGTGTAGGGTTTAGGGTTTAGGGTTTAGGGTTTGAGGCCTACCGGGTCGCAGGTAATCAAGTATGTCCTCATAACAGGCTCAGCAAGCAGGAAGCCTTCTTCAAAGAGGAGGGGACGAGTTATCTCCATGGCGCCTGCAGAAGGAGACAAAAAAAAAAAAAAAAAAAAAAAAAAAA